TCTCCAAACTAAAAGATTTTAAATTTCTGAAAATAGGAGACAAGCAATAACTCGAATTTTCGGATCTGGATGTAAATTAGTTATTAAATTATGTGTTAAATAGTGATCAATTTGATGACCAACCACCATCTCGGCCGTTCTTAGCGGGTAGGCAAGAAAAAGAAAACTCATGCGGGGAAAACCCATGTATATATATATATATATATATATATATGTTGTATATATAATTCCCTTCACCTTTATTATTATTATTATTATTTTGCCTTACCCCAGCTATAAGACAATGTTGACCCTAATTTCCTACCCGTAGTGGGGATATGGAAAGCGTGGTCACCAGGGTCGAGAAAAAGTTGGCATCCGATTTTTCACTTTCTTGTATAATAGCTTTTTATATAGATTTAGATTAATGTACTATTGTATGATATGCATGTTACTGAAGAAGTTAAAAGAAAGTTGGTTTCCGAAATGACCATTCTTGCTTCGAAAATAAAAATAAAACAGCTGATTTAATATTTGCATCTCTTGAAACCTACTTTAGGCCAACGGCCAATTTAACATGTAAATTCGCTTGCGCATTCGCTCGGACGATGCAGTTTTTTTTACTCGGAGGTGCAACAAGTCAGATTTCATTAGGTAAAGAATTAAGCTTGCATACAATCGTTATTCTTACTTTATTTTTCGGCACAACGTGTGACATGAATCACGGATGTTTTCCTGGGTAAAAGACGACTTAGCTCCGTTTACACTACTATCAATGCTATGATTAACGTGATTAACAAGACGCCCTGACAAAAAAGTTTTTGACGCTCCGATGCATCCCGAACCATTAGTCGTTCACAAGTTTTCTGCTCAGAACGTACGCGTCTGGCGGCGTTATTTTCTTATAATATCCTTCCACTGTCCCCACAATCTGAAAGTCATATTTTTTGTAGAATGCCAAAGCCTCTTCGTTGGAAGTTTGAACGTGAAGATAGATTTCGGTGAATTTAGGGACGGGAGGTGCTCCAGGCGCCGCATTGTTCAAGATGTGACTCAGCAAGGTGGTACCTAACCAATAGAAACATTCGAAAACTCGTAATTTGTCGCGCGAGGGAGTTGTGTAAATAGACATTATACTTGAAATTCGCTAAAAACCTAAGCCGAGGTTTCGATAGGGTGCCAAAACTCCTAATGTCATGATATAGAGCTTCGCCTGTTCGGGTGAGGTTCCTGAGATTGGTTCTTTGCGACAACAAACTGCGCCAACGCAAGCATCATTGAAATAGGCTATTTTTACAATGCAATTGTTCATTATTAGATATCAACAATTTAAACGAGCATATAAGGCGCGATCAAGAGAGGCGTGAGAGGTATACATTTATTTACCAAGTTTCGCGAATTCACCGACCTCCAACACGTCCTTGTAAAACCTTTCACTATAGTTGACGGGAAAAAGGACTGAATTGAGACGTTTAAGTTGACCCAGGTTATTTGGTGTGACGTCCCCGAGAGATATGCGGTGTGTGGTGATACGTTTTTTGCCTCTCGATGAGCCCGTTGTCTCCGTGCTTACGGTATTCTTGGGGTTGGAGTCCTCGGGTATCGTGTTTTCTGAAGACGTCTCTTTGGTTGGAGCTCCCATTGAGGCAAAAGATTTTTTGATATCGACATGCGTACAAATGAGATAAACAAAATCGCGCTATCATCCGAGTCACGTGCGATAAAGATTATATAACAAAATTTTTTTCTTTTTCAAAATTTTCACCTCCAAGAATTCTTTTCTCAGAAAATGCTCGACACTTTCGTTCCCGAAGAACTATATTCTCTGGTATACCATTTCTTGAGAGATACCGGACACCCTAAGGCGGCCGACGCATTTAGAGAGGAGACGAGAAAGGCAAGGACACTCAACCTAACCTCTTCAAAGTGAAATTTCAATTCAAGACACGTATCCACTCGCTAATGAACCAATTTTATTTAGCCAATTCGCGAAAAGGCTCATCTAAATTCTGATCTCATAAGAATTTTCAATGATGCTAGCAACGCGAGAATAAGGTTGGTTCTTTCTTCATTCGTTTATTTCTCACTAACGAATTTATGACGGTGTCTCGATACTGATCACCCTTCCGATCGAACGCGATCCTCGCAGCAAGAATGAAGCGATGTCGGAAGCATCATCTCCTGCTTTCTCAGATTTAACCGGGTGAGTGGTCTACGCAAGTGACTTCAATTCAGAATAAATGCTCGCATGGATTTTAATATGCCTTTGCGTTAGTCAAGATATCGAGTTATCCGCGAGCGATAATGAGACAGACAGCATCGATGGCTTGGCTTCTTCGAGTGAATCGAGTGAAAGTAGTAGTAGTAGTAGTAGTAGTAGTAGCAGTAGTTCCGAGGATTCTTCTAGTGAATCTGTATCCAACGACGAAACTTCGTCTCAACAAACTGCACAAAAGGATGATACAACAACATCTGATGATGGTGTATCAAGTGAAGATGAAGGTGACCAGGAATCATCCGATGATACTGACCAATTTACAGCGCCAAAGGATAATGAGACACAAAATAATGTAAATAACGGCCTCGATCATCAGTCGCGTGACAAGGAATCTTCGGATGATGAAAGTGATGATGATTCTGATGACTCCAAAAATTCCGACGGTATGCGAGAAGGTCTCTCGACCATCGAGGACGAACAAAAACTCAAAAATAATGATACCACCTCTGACACTCGAGAAGTTACGGAGTCCAACGGAAACATTCGAAAGCGAAAGAACGAAAGTTCAAATGATTCTTTAGAAAATCTTGAACAAAAACGCGAAAACACATTCCCTTCCAAGAAATTGAATACTAGTGAAAGGTATTGAGCATTTATTTAAGAGGTTTTCATATGTTCACTATTGCCGTTAACACCATCCCTTCATTTTCGGCAAACCTTCTAGCGAGCTCCTTGCTCAAAGAAACGGTAAAAATACGGATAAAGTAAGTGACACCATATGGACTTAATGGTTATTCATCCTGACAATTTAAAGTTGTATGCCTTTTTTTTTTTCCTTGTCATTTTAGTTCGCCAGAAATGCCATCGATGGAAAGAAAGGAATCAAACCTGACAATTCAATGGTAAAAAATAATTATTTTCAATGCATCTCTTAGCCAAAAAAGATTTTTAAGTTTCGTGCCACTCACCCGTGTCGCTCATTCTTAGCAAGTTACGTTCGCGTCATATGGTCATAAGGCACAAAAGGATTTCGCTGGAGTCAGGGGAAAAGATTTTCGGGCCCAAAAAACAAAAAAGAAGAGAGGCTCATATCGTGGTGGCAAGATTGACCTACAATCCCATTCTATAAAATTCGACAATCTTGATCAGATATGATTAGCGAGAGATTTTTCTAATTGACTGAGGTAATGCGTGTCGAGAAATTCTCACTTTAATCACATTCTCACGTTATTGTATATTTATATTTCGTTAACCAAAAACTGACATAATCGTCTATAATACATGAATTCCTTGCGTTTTAGCTGTTGAGAAAATTATAATCTGTACCGTTAATTTTAAAAATATAATTTTTCTTATACAATTCTACTATTGAGTACAAGTTAAAATATAGAACCATTTACCAAAAAAAAAAAAAAGAAAAAGGAAAAAGAATGAATGAATGGTTTTCGCGTAGAAATACAAACCACCAATAATCTTTCAATTGTGTGTATAATGTTATTGATAGTACGCAGGATAGTAATAGACACCATTTGGATCTGGTGCATGTGATGATGGTGGTGGTGGTGGCGGTGGCGGTGGCGGTGGTATAAAAGCCGTCTTTGGAATACCATCACTCCCATAACTATAATACATATTAGGGTTAAAATAATAGACCATGCCATTACTTTCCGCCGCAAATGGAATATGAGGTGGCGGGGTCTCCGCTGGATAATTCCTTAGCGTAAACATTGGCGGTGCTCTAGCCTGAGTATAATATCCGATAGGTGTCTCCGGTACTTGTAAGGAGGGAAGATTATCGTCGCTGGCCTCCTCCCCCACGACATTTTCTTCTATCAACGTCACAGATTTTGGTTTGAAGGGGGGTGCATACACCGCTATTTATAGGAATTCACATAGTGTGTGTGTGTGTCATACATACAAAACACACGTACCATTAATAATCTTGTTCAATTCTCATGTTACATATGTGTATATACATTGACATCAAATAAATCTTTCTCCATACATCATTAACTGATTTAACTATGATTAATGTAGACGCTTAATAAACTTCATTAAGACAAACCTGATAATGGGATTTCACTTCCTTTGGTGGTGGTAGCTTTTGACGATCCATCATTGACTTCCGTCTCAGATGATTGGGCATTTTGCGCCGTGGTTGCAGCAACCCTTCTCGTCGAATAGCGTTTAGAAGATGTTGTCGGTTGAGAACGCTCTTTCTCCTGTTGGTCTGTCGATCTTTTTTCCGATGACTCGGAACGACTTTCATGTTTTTCATTTGTGGTTTCTTGTTTCCCAATTGCATTGTTACTTGGAGGATCTAAAATTATCTCAACTTCAGATTCTTCATCGGAATCCTCAGTTACTCCCTCATGTTCATTTATTGAAAGTCCCAATTCCACCCCGTTTTCTGATCTGACATCTTTTACATCTGTCTCACCTGTTATGTCAATTTTCGGCGTCGCCTCTTCAAGCCCTACATCATTTGGCGTAATATTGTTCTCGTTGACTGTATCAGCCTCTCGGGTTTCATCATGTTCAGGCTCGTTTTCAACCTCGATAACTTTGTGATGATCAACATCTCCTAGATTCCTATTATCCTCCTCGACATTATTGACTTTAACATCACCTGCTTTTTGACCTCGACTATGATGAGTCGTACGAACGCGATTTACGTGCGGTCGCAGGTGATTCCTACTGTAACCCCTACCACGAATACTATTTATGCCTCTATGTGACCTTTGGCGTGAGGTATTTTCCTCGCTTTGCACTTTACTCTCCGGAGTTGATGGTCCGGTGTCACGTGGCCTCCCTCCATCCTCCCCATTATTCTTATCATGAAACTTGGTAACAAATGACTTCTTTGACGCAAATTCCATCGATTGTTCCCTATAAGACTTTTGTCTCTCATTATAAAATTTTGATGATCGGTTTTGAACAACCTTTGACGGCAAATAGTTACGCATGGGTGAATGTCGACGATTAATCTTTGGACGAGAAGCAAGATTAATTAAACGAGGTCGAAGTGATATCAGCTTAAAAAAACAAAAACAAAATATTGTTACCATCGGGGCATAGTCCCGACGTTGTACTCTTCGTGGGAATTCCTTACGGTGATTTTCTTCTTCGTCAAGTCGCATCAGTTCCTCGAAACCATCGTGACCCCAACGTCCTTTTGGCGGTGAATTTGCCCACACGGCTCTACCCCTACGAAGAAACAAAAAAAAAAAAATTAAGTCAAAAACTTTTAGTGAAACAATAAAGATTAACGAAATTGGAAACAAACATGATAGATACTTTGGACCAAAAGGTAGATTCCGTGGGCGTGGATCAAAATCATTTTTCAGTTCGTCTTTTGTGAAACGATCATCGTGGCCCCAAAACTCCCCTAGATGAGGCACGAAGGCTGGATCTTCGGCAAGTTTCTTGCGATACTCCTGTCTTGCCGACAATTTTTTTTGCCCATCCGCCGGAACTTTGGAAGTTTCTTTAGGAATATCATGTTTCTCATTCTCTTCAGAACGATTTTCGACCAATTCCTCTGGAGAACGACTATCGTTAAGGATGGATTCCTTGGTTGAATTGATGTCATTTTCTTTATCCGAGGCTTTGGAATGATCAGAGGAAATGCGTGTTTCCTTGGTTTCGGTGGAATTTAAATCTATGTCTTTGATCAAGGTGCTTGTTTTTTCAACTAGAGATCTTGTTTCTTCAGTAACAGCAGGGTTTGTCCCCTCGGTGGAATCCAAAACCTCGGTCGAATAATTCGTTTGTTCTTTCATAACTTCTTCGTCATCGCTATGGGAATTTTCACTTTCGATATCCGAATCTTCGCAACTTGCATCGGAGCCCGTTAGATCGCTCAGATCTACTTCTTCTCGAGCTGTCTCGATTTCATCCTCATCCTCGCTGTGAATGTCAGCTTGAGCCACGCGCCTCCTTAAGCGACGTAATTTGTGCATTGTTATATAAAAAAAAAAAACGTAAACTCAAGAATAAGTTATTGCATGTACTGTAGCTTCGAGTTATTTCACGCACTATGCTAAAATCCTGTGGCTAATACGGATTTTATTGGATACAATGACCGTTACATGATTGGTTGCAGCAATAGTAAAGTACACACCTACAGTGGCGTACGTCTTTGACACTCTCCTTCCCAAATGCATTTCCATTCTCAATTTCATTTAATAATACTTTATAGTACATCTGTATTGTTATATTGTTCGCGAATTATTAATTTAAACTTATTTATAAACAAAACCAATAAATAATCGGCGCTTGAAACTTCTCTTTACCACTAGTAAATGAATAATTATTTTTGAAAACAACAAAAATGTTATAACCGATTTTTTGGTCCCTATTTTTTTAATAATACATATACAATATAAATTCTAGGAGTACAATTATAAAGCCAGAAAAATTCCTGTCCGCCTTCGAAAATAATTACCCAAATATGTACGGTCATCGCGTAAAATCCAATGATTGAATTTAAAAGGTAAAAGAATTTCATGCATTACGTAACTGCACATGTACAAATAAATCTGATGATTAGATACTGTATGTAATTTTTTTGAAATAAAATTTGAAGCTTCTTATAAAATCTTTGTCATTATGAAATTCTTACGGCAATTATTTTTTTAAAAAGAATTCGAATCAAATTCTGAAATATAATTCAGTAAATATTGTTTATTAAATCTTTTTTTCTTTTACTTTGTTTATTAATTAAAAGAATACATAAGTATATTTTATTTGAGTCAAATCAAATTATTCTTGAAAATAATGTTTTCATTCTATCATGTGTTCCGGATAGCAGTAATTACAAAAGAATAATTAAAAATATATAAATATATCATAAGGAATTTTTTTTAAAACTTTTTTTCATTCCTTCTATTTCTTTCATGAAAAATTTTTTTCTATTTTTCTTTTCATGACTTTATATAGAATTATATAAAAGTCTAAGATATGCTAATATTATATAATACTTTTTTATCTATATTAGATATTCGAAATATATTTTATTTAAAAAACTCAAGTCTATCTAAATATTTAACAAAAGTTTGAAACAAAGAAAACTTGTTCTTTTGAAAAGAAAAATACTTTCAAAGTAAGATTTTATATATATACTAGTCAAAAAAAAAAATTATTTAACATATTGTTATTCATATAACATTTGACAAAAAATAAACAATTCAGCAAAAAAATAACATAAATAAATGACAATTTTATAATTTAATTATAAATATTACAAAAATCATTATATTTATAAATTATTAACAATTTATTAAATAATTCATTAACAATTTAATAAAAGATTATTATAAAATTATTTATTAGTAATTCAATAAAAATTTGACATTAATTTATTAATAATTTATTCAAAATTTGTCAATAGTTTATTAATAAATTAGCAACTATTCATCAGAACTATTTATTAAAAATTGAACAACTATTTCTTAAAAATTTATCAATTATTTATTAAAACTATTTATTAAAAATTTAGCAACTATTCATTAGTAATAAAATAAAAAAAATTGATAAACTTATATACAAAAATTTTCTAAATTGAAATTATATTTATAAATATAAATAAATACAAACTATAATATAATACATAATATGTAATTTATATTATTATAATTTAATTAATTATGTATTATTATATAAATAATATTAAATAATTTATAAATATAAATGATTTTTTGCAAGTTTTATAAATTTTTGTTAAATAATTAATAAATAGTTATTGAATTTTAAATAAATAGATCAAAAGATAAGCTATTCACTGATCCTCAGACCACACACAAAAAAGACGTTTGCAAGAAGTTTTTATACTTCTATACTAATAGAATCTTCTCACTTTTTTTAAACCAACTCAAAGAGTTCTCTAAGAACCCCCTCACCTCCCCTCTCTTTTGTTTACAATCTCGTTTGAATAAACTGGACTCTCATGGCCTGCAAAGTTCAGCTTTCACCTTTACTACCAATGGCAAGAAAGTTCTTAAGGAAAAAGGACTAACAGTAAAGTACATCTCACCTCTCAGCTATGGTAGAAATAATAAAAGTTATAAACCAGTCAAAGAACTCATTTTCCCACCCTTTGACTAGTGTTGTGGTCTCTTAGAACTACTTTTTTTATGACTTTCTGGGGAATTTTGCCTACCTCAGCTTGACCCAGAAATTTTAGGTAGCACAGATCCTACTAACTCTGATTGGCTGACACAAAACATGTTGAACAAAATTGATAAACAAACTCCTATTGGTCACCTCACATGTCTGAATGCATTTTCTTAACTCCATAAGAACCTGAGGTTTACCATAAGTCACATGTTGTCAGTATGGATAGATACAGAACATATTACCGACACATCATTGGATACAAGAAAAAGGTTCATCCGACAATAATAAAGGTTACAAGATGCTTATTTAACCTTTTCTCAAGTCAGAGCCATCTATTTCCTAATTATATATCAGGTAGATTTTCCAACCTCTACTGCTCAGAAAAGTCAGACCAGAAAAAGCAGAAAGCTATTAAGGATACTTAGTGAGAAAGCTCATGTTCAAAATAATCCAAAAAGTTTTCGTCCTATCTTCAAAAAATCCCAAGCTAGAAAACTGGAAGCTAATGTCACTTTACCAATCGAAACTCGAGTCTGAAAATGTTAGCAATAACATGTGAACCAACCGAATAATCTGGAAGATCCTCGTTGATACTAATACCAATAGTCACCAGCAGGGTATATTTATTGCGAGGCTAGATGCTATTATTTCTATAAGGAATTAAATCTAAAATAAGAGGCACAGATGGGTAAGTATTCCCATATTTAGATAAAAATAGATTTAATTGATGATATACTGGAAGACTTTCAAGTCACACATATGGATACCAATATATCACCTGGGCCTTCCTAATTACTCCCTCCCCACAAGCCTTAAAACTGTAAAGTTTCCTTAATGGCTTCCAACTTATTTTCATAAAAGACTCAGTAGAAGTATCTCTCCCTAGGCCTTCCTATAGGAAAGTTCAAAACAAGACAGGCATGGATCAAAAAACAAAACTGATACCCACTCAAAATAGTACATGACTGTCCAATTTCATTTTTCTCTTCATTATTATTTTCAGACACCAGCATGCTCTCGAGATGCTGGTTTTTCTTATATAAAAGAAAGAGCAATAAGCCTTGATATGGCTTTAGAAATAGCTTTAACTTATCATTATCTTTATAGTCACCGAATATACATCCTTGTACTTGTGCTTTGCACAATGTATATACGTATATAATTTGGAAAACAATAAAGTTAGACATAAGCCCGTTAAAAAAAAAAAAAAAAAAAAATTAATAAATAGTTGATGAACTTTTAATAAATAGTTTTGATAAATAATTATAAATTTTTTAATATGTATTTGACAAATTTTTAATGAATAATTTTGATGAATAGTTATCAAATTTTTAATAGATAATTTTAATAAATAGTTGATTAATTATCAATAAATTAAATTCTTTAACATCTATTATTTAATGATTTTGTTGAGTTAATTAGAAATCTTGTTTCTTAAAAAGATATTCTTATTTTATTATATTATTATTAATATTATGTGATTACTTCCTATTATATTTGATATATTTTGATTTTCAAAAAAAATTATCAGGAATTGTATCATACTGTAAAATATTTATTTATTTTTATTTTTATTTTTTTTTCTCTCTATCAAGCTAGCTACATATGCTTTATTAAACATTTGTAAGCTGTACATATAATATGAGATGCTAAAGCTAATTCTTTAACTAACTCACT